CCCAAGGAGTGCCAAAAGAACAAACAAATCTGTCTTGGAGGAAGTGCAACCAAGGGGCTTCTTAGAGGATGGTGAAACTTGATCTCACATACTTTGGGCATGTTGTCAGGAAGGGCCACTTTTGGAAAAAAATTGTCATGCTGGGAAAGAGAGGGCCAGAGAAAGAGCAGAGGATCTTCCGTGAAATGGATTGAGGCAGCAGCTGTAACATACTCTTGAGCATGGCGCAGATCATGATGGTGGTGCAGGATGGGACATGTTCATAGGGTCACAGTGAGTTGTGGTCTGTTCAGTGGTTCTTAACAGCGTATGACAAGAAAGACGTTGAACATTGTATTTGTGGATTTTCTTATGCCAGGTGACCTCTTGTCCTCCAAGACTATGGGCTCAAGGCCTCAGGACTGGCATGAAAAGTTGAACTTATAATAGAAAATTTCATGGTATATTTTTCCTGTATGCACTTGCATAAATGCATAATCATTGAGTATGTATTTTTTATTGTCAGAATGTATCTTCTGACTCAGGCAGTGTGGAATTTCACAATGTTCTTGAATTTAAACATAAATGTTAAAATTACTATTTCTTCATAACTGGCTTTATTCCCCCAAAGGGTCTTTGGATGATGTACTTTCCATTACATTTGTAGATAGTTTATTTAAGTGTTCCAGTTGGCCTATTTGTAGGGATGCGTTTGGTATCCACCAAAGTAGTTTAAGTACATTCCACCAGCTTAGTATGTTCAATAGAGGCAGCTGGTTTTGCACCTGTTCACAAGCTGACAGGAGGTGGAGTAACTAACCAGTTGCTAAATCTGAGGAGAAAATTTAAACATATATATTCTGTAGAATGTTTTTATATACTACAAGGTCACCTTAGAAATTTCTACATGATGCCACTGTTGTAGAATGGGACTGTCCTTGGGGTTGGGGAGAGACTCAGTAAGATGGGTTCAATAATGTATACTGCACTGAAACAGAGGAGGGAGAAAACTGTTTAAAAGAGATATATAACTAGGTATTTCTGTCATCACA